AAAAAGCACAAGTCCAGTGAACAGTTGAGCCAGGGGTTCAAAGGCTCTGCCTCAGTGTCTTCATTCAGGATTTCGCTGAGGGCCATATCAGCATCTAAACTGCTGCTACCGTGAGGGTGACCATCCACTTTAGTTTACTAGGAACTGGGCATTCCAGGACTTTCAGCGTTAAACCCGGACAGTCCTGGATGGTGGAGTGTCTGAATCACAGGTAATAGGGCAGTTTTACTTTTCCGCTGACCAAACTTACTTTACTCATTCTCTCTAAAAGGTTTTTCCTAAAGTGCTCCCTACAAAACCCACATGTTAAGCTCAGTCTCCTCTGAAAGGAACAGTTGGATTTGACCAGGGATGGGTTTTACTAGGCAATTACAATAAAGCTAGATGGAGGGGAGAGGGTTGAAGATTATAATGATGCCGAAAGGAATGTAACGTCAGACTAGGTGTTAGCCTCACAGGTTAAAGGGCCTGGTAAAGCCGAAGAATTATTTAGTATTGGCAAAAAGAATGCCTCCACTGAAATCTAGGTTAGGACTGCAGGGTCCAGTAACTAAGGAAGGCTCAAAGTGATCCCCAGGAAAAAGAAAAAAGCACTTTTGAACAAGGGAACTGCTTTCTACCAAATTTCAACCTTTATCACATGTGGTAGGCAGAATGACCCCACTTCCAACCCAAGACATCCACATCCTACTCCCCAAACCTATAAATTACTTCTTAGGGCAAAAGGAACTTGTAGATGTGATTAAATCAAGGAGGTAAAGAAATTATCCTAGATTATCTGGGTGAATCCCATGAAATCGCCTAGGCCCTTTACTTTCTTGGAGAGGGTTTCACTATATATAGTTCAGACAGCCCTTAAACTTATAAGGATCCTAGGGGCTGGGGATTTAGCTCAGTGGCATAAGCGCCTGCCTTGCAAGCAGGCAGTCGTGAGTTTGATCCCCGGTACCAATAAAAAGGAAAAAGACCAAAAAAAAAAAAAAAAAAACAACTTATAAGGATCCTCCTGCCTCAGTTCCCAAGTGCTAGGATTACAGAAGTGTGCCACCATGCTGGTCGGTCTTTATAAGGGGAAATTTCAGAATCAGAGGAGGAATAGGTGATCATGGGCATCTTCCAGAAGCTGTCAAAGTGAAGATACAGATTTGCCCCTAGTAATGCGAGAGAAATGCAGGTGTCCTGCTATTTTGATTTTAACCCTATGAAGCCCACTTCAAATTCTGACTTCAGGGCTGAAAGACAAGTATTATTGTAAGCCACAAAGTTTACAGCCAAATTTTTTTAGTAGCAACTGTAAACTAATACAGCGATAGCACACTTTCCTCCTTTTCCTATTATGCAGACCTATCTTCTTTGTATCGAGGTGAACCTCTTACCTGTTCTGTCACCTTTCACAAACTTCAATATTTGCTGCCTTCTTGAAATATTTTCTGATTCTGGATTATTTTTCTTTATATACTTTTTCTCCCCCATAACCATGGTTTAATTAACATCTGTTTAGGGAAACCCTCAATATTTATTCAAGTCAAAATGCTGGCCATATTTGTATATCCAAATTCCCACTCATCTCATGGGTAATGGCATCTCCATCTCATGGGTAATTTCAACTCAGGTCAAAAACTGAACCCATTCTTTTCCCCTTGAATCAATTCCTTAGTTCAGTAAAGGCCACCATCTTGCATTTTAAAACAAACAAAACAAAAAGTTGTTACAATGCCCACAGTTAAGAACATTAACTTAATGGCAAATTTCCTACTAAGCTGGTATTCACTAACATAACCTGACTGTGGGTAATTAACATTTGCTTTTCTAATGCCCACATTTTAAGAGTTTTCAAAACTCAAATATACTACAGTTCCTATTACTCCACATTACATATTTAAACAAACTATATATTCATATGTGTACACATATATAATACACACATTTATATTCAAACTATTTTCTAAGGTCTTGTTTTAGAACTATTTATTCCAAGTACTGGAACAATCCCAGCAGGTACAGCCTGAACTTCGAAAAGTTAGCCACAAAAATGGAACCATCACACTTCCTCTTATTCCAGTCGGGACATGCACTGCAATCCAGTTAACAATCACTTTTTCTCCCATGAAAAGTACCTAAGGACAGGGTACAAAAAACCATAGAATTAAAAGTTTCCCAAGCTTTAGGACCAGGGATTTAGCTCAGTGGCAAAAGAACCTGCCTAGCAAGCACGAGGTCTTGAGTTCGATCCCCGTTCCCCCCAAAACAAAACAAAACAAAACAAAACAAAACAAAAAACGTTCCCCAAGCCTTGGCCTATTGCTATATTTATTTGTTATTCTGAAACTCCTAGAGTCTCAACCTTTCCAGGTATAAAATGGCATTAATATTGATTAGTTAAGGGAGTTTTCAGATAATGAATTTAAGTGTTTGATAACTTGGAAAAGACTTATATAAAGTATCAGCAAGCTATATCATAGTGCCTGAAAATATGAAACATTTATGACATAAATGCCAGTGCAAGTCACTTCTAAACACTGAATCAAAACCTAACCATTATTAACATCAAATGTCAATCTGCTGCATTTTCTCTTATTCTTACAACACTTCTTTGAAGTAAGCAGGTGTTTTTATTAACCAAATGTGACAGTTGAAGAAAATAAGATTCACAAAGGTTCACTTGCTGAGTTATCCCTCTGAGAAATACTGAAGCCAAGATTCAAAATCAAGTGTATCCTGTCTTTAGAGCCAATATTCAAGACCACAGTGCTATCTACAGATTTCCATAACTAAGTCAGAAATGGATACAAAGTACGAATACAAAAGACAAGAATCTGTGATTAAGAAAAAGAAACTACACATTGTCTAGAAAAAGATGGTGGATTGAGCACATGCACCTACACCCCTCCCAAATGTCCATTAAATGACTTCAAAGTTTCTGTCTGTTTTAAAATATAAACCAAGCTGGCCATGGTATCCTAGTACCAGGGAAGCTGAGGCTGGATGATTACAATTTCAACGTCCACCTCAATTATACAGTAAGACCCTGCCCCCAAAAATGAATGAATGATGAATAAATAAGTGGAATTTAAAGAAAAAAAAAACCTAAAGGTATGGAAAAGGAAACAGCAGCAACAAAAAAGCAGAAGCACATGAATAAGTAGTAAATAATGTAGCAGATCCAAGAAAACTGAATTCTATGCCAATACTAGGAAGAGCCAAAAAAGAAACAAAAGCAACCTAATTCACACCACAGAATTCACAAAAGGTTCAGGAATTGGTGGTTATATGTACCTCTGGAAGCAGAGGATAAAACTGTAGACACCAAGAATTGGATCTGGGTGTGGTGCCCTACATCTGTAACCTGAGCACTCTGGGAGGCTGAGAGGCTGAGGGGGAAGACGGCAAGTATGGACCTAGAGTAGACAACTTAGCAAGACCCTGCATCAAAGAAAAACGGAAGCGGGCAGAAGGGAAGGAAAGGACTAGACATGTAGTCCAGTGAAGAGGCCCTGGGTTCAAGTCTCAGTAAAAAAAGAAAGACAGAGACAGGGAAAATAAAAGGGAGAAAGAGAAAATAAACTGGTTATAGGCTTAAGTGATCAAAAGCTCTCCGCAACTCTACTTAGCTAAGTGGACTCCCAACTCACAAATCACCTTTCAGTAAAACTCAACACTAATAAGCCCCACCCACTTAAAAACTTCTAATCAATTTGTTAGTCCCTATTAATGACATACTCAAAGGAGAAGCATCTAAAATGAAAGAAAAAACAAAACAAAAAACCCTGAGAAAAGCAATTTTAGATCAAACAGACTATAGAGGAAACACCAAAAGTGGTATCACTGAATAAAGTGAGAAAAGAAAAAATAGCAGGGGTAGAATCATCAGTGAAAATATATAAAGTTTCTGTGAACTAAGGATATAATTTTCAAATTTAACTGGTTGGCAAGTGTCCAGCACAATGAATTAAGATAAACACACACCAGAGTGTATCATCACAGAATGTAATAATACTGGGGTCAAAAGATCCTTGCTTATCTGAATTTAGACCTTCCAAAAAAAATCAGGAATCAGTAATGGTTTCAAATTTCTCAATAGCAACAGTGAAAACTAGAATAAGTGGTGCAATGACAAAATTCTGAAGGAAAAAAGATTTTTACATTCAGCAAACTATCAAATGTTAGAATAGAGAAAAAAGTCTTTTTTAGGTCTTAATACATTTGCTTCATATGTCACTCTTCTTAGAACTGTGCTGAAGAAATGACTTCATCAAAATAAGGGAATAACTCTAAAAGAGAAAACAGTAATAGAAAACTAGAGATCTAATATGGGATAAGAGGAAAAGACCTTTCCCTCATAAGGGCGAAAGGAATTCCCCAGTTAAAAACCGCCCCTTAGGAAGATGAAAACAGAGCACCTAATGAAACTGAACAATACGTACAATTCAGACAAATACCAAGTTCTGTTGAGTTAATGAAAAGTTTATAGAAAAATTAAACCTAGAAAAACTAGAAAGATACATGGGGAAAGAACTCCAGCACTTGAATGCTCTAATGGTATTGATATAATCAAAATCACACTGTACACTGAAAGAGAGATGCTAAGAAATGTGTGTGGACATCGGTGGAGGAAAGAAACCTAAGTCCTGATAATGCACTAAGAAGTCAGAGGGCATTTCTCAAAGCAGAGCAAACCAAGAAGTAACAATTTGATCACATTATTTAGACAAATTAGCTAAAAAGAGGTGAAACTGTTGCTTCTGAGAAGAATTACTTGCTTCTGGCAATTAACAGGAATAACTGTTCAGCTTAAAAACACACCATTTGCCCCCTTTGGTATTATGTGTACTTATTACCAGGCAGTTTGGCAGTAAGATTTAATGCCACTTGAGTAGGATCAGCAAATTCCCAGGTCCCAAATGAGCAGAATTCAACTTCATGCAGCTTATAGTAAGGACATTACCGCTATGTGATCAACTGTTGGTTTTTCAGCAAAAAGTGGGACAAAAAAAGAAAACTCAAATTTTCTGATATTTTATTACAAATATAGACTAATGGTCTTGCACTTTAAATGTCTTTGTGGTTATGTGCTGACTCCCATTAAGCATAGTTATTTATAAGGGACCCATCACAAATATACTCTGGACAGAAGTAAAAATGTAAATAGAAATGACAAGACAATGACATTGCAGACACAATAACCTTACAATCCTTGCTAGAAAATGGAGTTTGACATTATTTACAATTACATCAACATTCAGAGCTTGACTATTTTACCAGCATAAGGGCACACTCTGACCATAAGACATCTTTTCATATTTTTCATTCCAAATACTTTTATATTTTAGCTATAAGTATCAGTTACCAGAGCCCAGCTTGCTCCTAATGAGTAGAATTTTTAAGTCCATTCAATCAAAGAGTCTCTTACACCTTTCTGGGCCTATTCATTTGCAGGTAGGCAGGAGAAACTCTAACCAGGCTCTTCTAGCGTATGTTCACATATGATGCCCAACCTTCATATACTGTCCAATTTCTTCAAGATAAATGGAGCTGAAAGAAAAACAAATTCGAAATTAGTTTTCAGCTCTATTTAGTTCCCACACTACATTACAGAACCTTACCCTGGGGAAAAACTTAACAGGTTTAATTCACGATAAAAAAACAAAACCAAAAAAAACCACACACAAAATGATGGCCAGGTCTCTGCCTGTACAACACAGCAAAAAAAACCTCATTTTGCCACCCAAAGCAACTCATTTCACTGTCATTTAACTATAAGGTCAAAATCTTCCCTATTAGTAATTCTCCCCTTAAAGCCATAGAGTAACTTCCATCTGTCTCTCAAACCACAGCTCTTTATTTTGATAATCTTAACCGTAAAAGGACCAGAACTATAGAGAAAGCAAATTGGCATTTCTCATCTTTAAAAATTCATTTGAGAGAAGGCAGCAAGTAGGGGAAAAACACTGAAACAGGTAACAGCTGACACCTATTTTATCATTTCTGATTAGCTATCCATCACATATGCCCTGCTGATAACACCTCTTATTAGGAGGTTTCACAAAGTGATACACAGAAATGTCTGGAAAACTAAGTGCTGTCATTTGGACCTACAGAAGTGTTACTATTCTGTGTAAAAGTGCTGTGCTTGAAAAATACAAAATAACATTCTTTCTCAATATTAGTTATTGAGCTAACAGCTAGTAGAAAATTTTGTAAATAATTAACCGAAGACATTGAGATCTGTCAGAAGCTGATGGTCAGTAGTACATCCAGTCTTTTTTAGTATACACAGTGGAAAATCAAACCACCAATGAATAAATGTAATGTATATATTCACATAAGGAATTTTATTTTTAAAAATTCCAACACATGCTAAAACATACCCTGAAAAAATTATACTAAGTGAAATAGTCCAGATGCAAAGGGATGCATACTGTATAATTTCTTTTATATGGAAATATCCAAAATAGGCAAATCCATAGAGAAAAAGACTCATGGTTACCCAATCTGGAGAAAGGGAAAAATGAAATGACAGCTAATTGGCATGGGCTTTTTTTTAAGGGTAAAGAAAATGTCCTAAAATTGACTGTGCTAATAGCCACACACCTCTGACTATACTAAAACTCACTGAATTGGACACTTGGAAAATGTACTGTACAAGCTAGAAACTGTACCTCAACTTAAAAATGACAATCAAGGTTAAGATAAGAAATAAGTAAATCTGGGGATTGTATGCAGCTGCTGAATGAGCTGGATGATTTGGGTTTTTCTGTTCCCCAAGACTCCCTCTCCTGGGGAAGCAGAGAAATACAACGAAAGAGTACACAGTGAAAAAGGCACCTCAATCAGAGCAACTTCGACCTCAGTGAGCGGTGTAGCCTAGGCCTAACTTGAGTCTTCCATGGCATGACCTTGGTATGGCCTTCAACTATTTGAACCACCCTGTCTCTCCATCCAGACTAGCCAACCATTATACAAGTACAGAACAATGAAAAGGATATCTTACAGAAACTGAGGAGTCAGAGGTAAGTGACTGCTAAGATGTATCAGTAAAATTAGAGAACTGATCCTAAGCTACTCCCAGTTCTTATAGTCAGAGTCTGTAACCGGATGACTTTTGTGCATCCCTTTGAAAACTGAGGTCTCAAAGGGCCACTGTCCAGCCGGGAGTGGTGGCTCACGCCTGTAATCCCAGGTAGGAGGATCGTTGCAAGTTCGAGACCAGCCTGGGCTACAAAGTGAGCTCGAGGTCTGCCTGAACTGCATAGCGAGACCCCGTCTCAAAAAAGTCAAAAAAAAAAAAAAAAAAAAAAAGAAAAGAAAAAGAAAAAGGGCCACTGTCAACAGAAAAACAATGAAAGTAATTTTCTGCCAATTGTAAATATTTCATTAATCCTATAACCTTTTATTTTCCTTATTTCATAAAAAAACAATTACTTATTTCATGCTCTGTACAAGTAAACAAGAAGCAAAAGCTTTCAGATTTAAAAGGTCAGCACTGGAGAAAGAGAATCTATTAAATAAAAGCTTTGGACTCTAGGTCAAGTGCATTCACTGAATCGCTGAGTGAGCTTGGACTAGCCATTTTCCTACTGTGGCAGGTTTTTCCGTCTGCAAACAAAAAACGTGTTCTAGGGATAAACTGAAGTTCGTTCACCTCGAATGCTCTTGCGATTAGGTGAACCAGAACGACTTAACCACACGCGCTGGGCCACCACGTGCTCTTTGGTATCCCCACCCAGACCCCAAACTGCGCATAACACTGCCGCCCTCAATGCGCTTTCTGCCTGCGAATGCCCAGCAAGTCAGCTCCGAAAGACCCCACTGTCGCCTGTAGGTCAAAAAATAAATGAGCAGTGTAGACAAGATGGTCTCACGGTCACAGCCCAGAAGGACACTCACTGACTCGCAGCAGGGCTACGTAGATGAGGAAGTTCCGTACGGAGGAAATCACATCCTCGCGCATCTTCCGTTTCATCTCCTCCGGGTCCAGCTTCGGTGCGAGGCCCTCGATCCGGAACATCTCCGCTCTGGAGCAACACCTCCCAGTCGCTGCACTTTGCTTTTCGGATCTTCTGGAGCCGATTCAGACCGGATCTCCGCCTAATCCTATTTCCTGTTCCCGCCCCCTCCGCGCGCACGGACGGGAGCTTGCGAGGGACAATTCCCACCCTACCCGCGCGGATCTGATGCGCGACCGGAAGGGGGCGGCCGCGATCTTGCCACCGAGAGGCTGGTGCTTATAGAAAGTTTGTCTTAAACTGGGAGCACACCGTTGTAAAATGGTGTTAAAACAGCTAACATTTATTGAATACTCAACACAGTCCCCCATAAATTGCATTATCGTTTCCAAGATTAGAAAACTGAACTGAAGAGATCTTGACTTGCCAGGTGCACTTTGAAATACCGTAGGCGGGAAAAAGTATTGAAGAGAAATGAAACAGTATTAGCAAAATTTTGAAAACTACTTAAGCTGGCGATTGGTGTATAGTTTTAATTATTCTAGTATTTGTATCTTGGGTATGTTTGAAATTTTCTGGAAAAAAAAAAGAAATAACAAAAAAAGGGGGGAGCTGGGGATTTAGCTCAGCGGCATAAGCGCCTGCCTTGTAAGCCCGTGGTTATGAGTTCAATCCCTGATACCGACAAAAAAAAAAAAAAAAAAGAAATTTTCTGGGATGAAACAAAAAGGCAAAGATGGTGAAACATTACCACACATAAATGTCAAAACGGGATTCTTTACCTATTTAGATCTGTGAAACCCCAGACAGAATTTTTAACATTATTGCTGTATTTACATTTCTGTAGCCAATCAATTCTTACAAGTATCATTTAGGTGTAGAAACAGCATGTGTAAAGCAAATACAAATCTGAAAAACAAGTTACAGATGAGAGGAAGTCTCCGAAATCTATTAGTCATTCTTTTATTGATGTGCAAGGCAAGATTCTAATGTGAACTGAAATGTCTAGTTGAATCCTGTTTCCCCTGGATCCAACTGCCCCGCTGGTCCCTAACAGTACCTGCATGGATGGACATGCTGGATTCAGAAGTTAGAAGTTGAAGGCAATCAGTTTTCAGTCACAAAATCATCAAACATTAATAGGTGGCTGCTCCAAGTTATGAATGACAACTAGTCATATATAATTTTCAGACATGAGCCAGATGACTGATTCATTATGGTTAGTACACAATGTTCCTTCTTAAAGCACAGCGCATAGCAATAATGAATTCTGGATAAATTAGAACAATAAGTTATTATGGAAACAACTGATAACTGTAAGTGTTGCAACCTACCTTGCTAACTGACAGACACTGGGGTGAGAAAAGGAACTTATCTTCTACTCAATCTTTAGTGACCTTTTGCATCTATAATTCATGCAGTGGAAGAGCAGAGCCAGCTCTGGAAAGGGAGGGGCAGATTCCCAGGGAATAACTTCCCTGAAGCCCCGCTGTGAGGGTTTAGAAAACCTTCAGGAATGCTGAAAAGCAACAGGGGCGGTGGAAGGAAACTGAACTGGGACAAAGGCGACTAAGTCCCTGCATCTGCCGCTGCTACTCACTGTTCTTGTGGTGAGGGACAAGTGCTTGTTTATTTAGCACATAGGTGGTGGTATTTCCAATTACAGTAGGCTTAGTGAGGCAAATTGAGAAAATATGCTTCAGGAAGTCAACAATGGATCGAGACACTTCGCATTTTACACTCCTCATTTTTGCGTTTTGAGACAGGGTCTCGCTATGCAGTTCAGGCTGACCTTGAGCTCACTTTGTAGCCCAGGCCAGTCTCAAATTTGGAACAATCCTGCTGCCTCAGCCTACTGAGTGCTGGGATTACAGTTGTGTACCACCACATCCAGCCTCATTTTTTCTTTACTGGGATGAGAGGAGTTTTGGGTCTAATCTTTAAAGTCATCTAAAGCTGTCAAATGCTGTAATTCAATGCTCACCATTTCTGTTCTTTCAACATAACCTAAAGAGCAAAGAATTGACTGTATTTTACTTTCAGGCAAAAATGAAAAAGTATGCACACATAATTTAATACTGATATTTGTATTACTTGGTCTACTTACAGAGAAAATGGCAGCTGATGTCATAGCTTGTCTTACTTTGCATTTAGATCCCAGGAGGGTTTTTGGAGCCATTTCCTTTGCCTCAGCTTCCCAGATAATACTGTACATAAGCATTCAGAGGGTACAACATGCTCCCTAAGAGAATTAAGTGCTTTAATTTCCACCACTAGGGAATAATTTGTATTTGCAAGGCCAGAGGTTGACTGATGACTCATGATTAGGAAATGAATCCAATATAAAATCATACGAACCTTTGTTTCTAATTTATAAGGTGCTTATGGATGTTAGTCAGTTCAACTCCTTTACCTAACAGATGAGAGAACTGAGACCCAAAGGGAAACTAGTTAGAAATAAGATACCTAGAATTAGGGCAGATCTCTGGGCTCCCAATTTCCTCCACAACACCACATGGTCTTAGCTACTTTACCTATGAATAGTCTTACTGATACAAAAGGTAAGGCTTGGAAGAATGTGGTAATGTTTAATTCCAGTTAGGGAAAGAAAGATAAGGAGAGGCTGCTATTCATCAACAAACTGAGAGCAGCTCTCCTTCCCACACTGCTATATCCATTACCAGTAGTTAACCTGGATTGTGTTGTTATGCAGCTGTACACCTCTCCTTCCTCTTTCCTTCAGACAAAGGCATGGCCTGGAATTCCCAAAACAAATTTGGCTTTGAAATCCTACAATGGACCCACAATGAATGAAACTACAGTCAGAACAAGGAAAAGACCCTTGGACTCTCTAAAGATTGCTCTGTGGAAGATACTAACCAAAGAATCTCAGCTGGAAGATAGGATAAGTTAAAAAGTTACTGCCCAACAAAGAAGCATCTTCAGAAAGGGAGCTTTTTGAGCCAGAAAGGATAAGAATTTTGACAAACCTGTACCTTTCTGGTATTTGCTTTGTGTAATACCTTGTTCTCTGCTCTAAGTTTTAGAACTATGAATATATGATCTCTTTCCAGGTAGAATCTGAGCACTTTGATACAAGGAACATCACTCATTGTTGGGTCTGCCAATCAACTGAGGACAGTGATAGAATTATGGTGCGGCTGAAAAGATAAGTACAAAATATAAATGACCTTTATTTTAAGAATGCGGCGAGAGAGCCCCCGACCCACCGGGTCCAGCATTCTTTCTCGGATCTGGCAATCTTCCATTGGACACGTGGAGTAGGTAGGGGCATACATGTAGCTTAGGTTTGGGGTGGTGCCTGAGGGCCATTAGTGATGCACAGGTAGCCCATTGGTATTTATTTCAAGCAACAGGTAAATTCCTAGGGGAAGATAGAGCCACAGGTAAATTCATAGGGGCGGGGAAGATAGAGCTCCTTGGTTCCACCTCCAAGGCTTTACCAGCTACAGTGTCCAATCTGGGCCAAAATCCTTTCAGACAGGTATTTATACATAATAAAAACTAAGTGCCTCATGAGTAAATGAATGAATGAATTTGAGATCCAGTCTTTAGGACTTAAAAAGTGGCTGTGTGTTTGTTAGTTTCAAAGGAAATCATCACCAAAAGGATTTATCTCCAAATTATATATAATATTTTACATAGTAATTTACTTTTCACTGTTTTGGTATAACTTATTTTTATGTGATTAAATAAATATTATTTAGATTATAAGATGTTATCAGGAAGACCAGGTGTAGGGCATGCCTGTAATCCCAGCACCCAGGAGGTTAAAGCAGGAGGATTGCAAGTTTGAGGCCAGCCTGGGCTACAAAGTAAGTTCAAGGCCAGCCTGAACTACATAGGAATACCCTGTCTCAAACAAACAAACAAACAAACAAAAAACAGCAAAAAAGATGTTATCAGCAAAGTTAGAGAGTGACCTTTACATTTTGTTTTCATTTATTTATAACAACACAATTATATTAAATCCATATTATGTTTTCAGTAACTTGATTTTTTCATAAAAACTACGTTTTTATGTTTATTTTAATAATAGAAAATAAAGAATCAAGGGAAAAAAAAAAAAAAAAAAGTCCATAATCCCACAACTGCTATTGACGTACTAGTGTTATCTTTCCACCAGTATCCATTCTCTACACCTTGTCCTTGACATTTCCAGGATGACAGACCTGCCTGATTAAAGACAAGTAGATACCCACTCGTTTTATCTTAGAAAAGACACAGAGTTCCTAAAGCCAGAAATACCTTTTTTCTTGCATATCACAGTTGCATTGCTATAAATGTCCAGACTGTGAATAAAGGAATATGCCAATTGTTACACTGCACACTATTCAGAATTCATCCGGGGGAGACGAAAGGCCAAGCCTGAGTGTGTGAAACCTTAGCCATTTTGTTCAGAAGGACCCTCCTAATCTTATTTGGAATAGCCTAAAAGGCCATCTGAGCCTTCTCTGAGGCTGAGCCCTCTACTCCAGCATTCTCACTTCTGCCTGAGCACCTCCAATTCCTGGCTCACACTCCCCTGGGCAGTTCAGTCCGTCTTTGGGTAGACAGCTCTAGTTAAAGCCAGGCATCTTCTCCTTATCGTACACCCACTGGCCCCGGTTTTGTCCTCCAGAGTGTCAAATACAAGTCTTAGCATTTTTCCTCATGTATCTCTACAGACAGCTTGAGTCTTCCCTTTGACAGCTTTTTCCTTCCAAGCCAGATATAATTTTTGCAAAATGTTCATAAGTTTAGTATTATAATCTTAAGAATGATAGACTGATTTATGCCAAGGTATTTGGCACTATACCCTGCATAGGTGCGCACATAAGTGTCCATTGGGCACCCCTCCCCTGACTAATTTGCAACACACACACACACACACACACTCTCTGTCTCTGTCTCTGTCTCTGTCTCTGTCTCTGTCTCTGTCTCTGTCTCTGCCTCTCTTTCAAGGGAACTTAATGAGTCCCTGGCAAAGATTTCTGGGACTCAAAACCAATTGGTTCTTTCTTTCTTTCTTTCTTTCTTTCTTTCTTTCTTTCTTTCTTCCTTCCTTCCTTCCTTCCTTCCTTCCTTCCTTCCTTCCTTCCCTCCCTCTCTCCCTCCCTCCTTCCTTTCCTCCCTCCCTCCCTCCTTCC